AGGGCTCCCAGGCAGGTCCTCCCCGCTCCCTGGGCCCCAGGTCCCCCCCCCCCCCCGTCCTCAAGGCGAATGGACGGGCAGGTGCGGGACGCATCCCAGCGACAAAGGGAAACGAGACAGAGCGAGCGCGCTGCGGAGATAAAAATAGGGGGAACAGGAAGTGAGAAGTCGGGGTTTCTGTTTCTTTTCTGGGTCCCCCTGTGTCCACGTCCCCCTGCGGAGCTGCGGAGGGAGCTTCTCCCAGGCGAGCCGTCCTGGGTGTCTGGGAGGAGACGGCGAGCCGCTGGCCCCTCCACGGGGAGCTCCCGCACCTCAGCCCCAGAGCCTGCTCGCTCTCCCCCAGGACGGCGGTCTGCAGGCTCCGAGTGCGGGGTGCCCCCGGGAGCGTTGCTACAGCACGTGCATGCTCTGACGTGGCACTGTCAGGGCTCTGCCCGAGAGCGGGCTCTGCGGTGAGCAAGGACTGCGGGCAGGCCGCCCTCGGTCAAGGTTCAATGTCCCGGCACCCACGGCTCCATTGCTGCCCGGACCCCATGGGAGGGGCTTGCAGGCCTCGTGTGGAGGCCATGGGCCCGGCGGCCAGGGCTGCCCCGGTCACGCTGTGCTTCCTCGCCCTTTAGCGACAGGACGGGAAGCTCTTTAGGAATCACGGCCCTGGAGCCCCCGCTGGCCGGAACCTGGGGGCGGCGGGGCTGCTGTGGTGTCCGAATGGGACGCCCCCTCAGCCGGTGGCAGGCCCTAAAGAGAATAGCCGCCCGGCCTCGCGGCTCGGTGGTTGAACATCGACCTATGACCCTGGAGGTCACGGTCCGGGTACGTACCCGGGTTGTGGGCTCAGTCCCCGGTGTGAAGCATTGTGGGAGGCAGCCTGTCAATGATTCTCTCTCATCATTGATGTTTCTGTCTCTCTCTCCCTCTCCCTTCCACTCTGAAGTCAACTAAAATATATTTATTAAAATCTAGAGGCCCAATGCACAAAATTCGTGCATGGGGTGGGGTGGGGGGTTCCCCTAAGCCCAGCCTGCACCCTCTCACAATCCAGGACCTTTGACTCCTAACTGCTCACCTACCTACCTGCCTGGTCACCCCTAACTGTCCCCCCTGCCAGCCTGGTCGCCCCTAACTGTCCCCCCCCACCAGCCTGGTCACCCATAACTGTTCCCCCCCATCAGCCTGGTTGCTCCCAACTCCCCCCCCACCACCACCACCTGCCTGGTCGCCCCACAGAGCCTGCTGTTGGGTCGTTACTGTTACTGTGCCGGCATCCCGGACAATTTGCACATTCCTCTATTATTGGTATAGATTAGGCTTGATTCTTGTCGCTCACAGTGCTCTGTTAGAGGACCGCCTGCACAGTACCCACCGTCCCCTGCGGAGTGGCCCAGTCAGGGGTTGGGGCACACGGCCCCATGTGCACTGCGACCCTGCGTGCACGTCCGGTATCCCGCTTTCCACACATGTTGTCTCCAACCTCAGAAGCGTGGGATGACTGTCTGGGCGCGCCGTCTGTGTTTAGGGAGCGCCCCTCCCTCCCCCCCCTCCTCCCACCAACATTGAGTCTGGTGCTCGCTCCCGGGCACCTCGTGGGAAACGCTGACAAGGGCTTTATTTAGCAGCCGCTGAGCCTGTGAGTCACGCAGCTTGCTGCTTGTGTTTTCCTGTTGGGTTCTGCTCCCATAAACATTTACTGAAGGCGGCCGTGTGCCGGCGTCTCAGAATTCCACCGCCACAGCTGCTGCGCCACCTGCCCCCGTGAAATGCTGACGGAGACCCCACAGGGCTGCTCTGCAGGGTCCCTGCCCCAGGGCTTCTCTGGTCCCCAGGAGGCGTGCGCTTGCTTGCCGTGGGGATCAGCCCGTGGTCAGAGGGGCAGTTTTGCAAGATGAGCAGCGCGAAGGCAAGGAACCGCCAAAGCCGCTGCCCTCCACCAGGCTGCGGGAAGTGGGGGGTCTGGGGGAGGGGCCGGCACCCCATTGAATTCTGTTCCTCCTACTCGGTTCTACTCAAGCCCACGCGCAGCCACTTTGGGATAGTGAGGCGCTCTCCAGACCCAAGAATTCTGGGGTGACAGCGTTTTCCATCCTGGCCGCAGGGCGAGCCTGTGGGTTTCTGAACATCTGATTAAAGGGCGCGTTGCGTCTGTGATCCGGACTCTCTCCCTTGCGCCAGTGTCCACCCCTCCATGGCCTTGCCCGGCACTTCCTGGCTCTAGAGAAACAAACAGCGCGGCCTTTGTCTTGTTTTCCCTCCCAGGTCACTCACGGCTTTTCCTGAACGCTTCCTTCGGGTTGGGGTGACCCGGCCTCCGGGGGTCACAGATGCTGGCACATGTCCCCGATGTCCCCATCCCCGGGAGAGCCGGCTTTGAGACCCACTTCCACTCCCTCAACACAGAGGAGTGTCCGTGCGACACCTCGTTTCAGAGCTCGAACAGAGGCCAGGCCCTCTCGCCACGCATTAGGCCTCAGACCTGAGCTGGGCCCCCGGAGGACAGGGCGATGCGGGGTGAAGAGCCAAGGCTCCCATCTAACTCCATCACCCAGTGGCCTGTGAGCTTCAGAAAGTGACCTAACCGCCTGGTGCCTCCGCTTCTCTATCTGTACAATGGGTAAAGTGGCACCTACCTCCTGGGGTGGTTGTCAGCATAAAGAAGTGGGTATCAGTACTTAGAACAGCTCTTGTCCCTCGGTAAGTGCTGTTATTATTATTGAATGGTTAGGCCTATGGGGAGATACCCAAAGGGCTGGACATAGATGCTTGCACACCATGAGTGAGAAAGGAATGAATGACTACAATTAAAATGCATTTGTTCACTCTGGCCAGTTTTTCTCAGTGATTAGAGCGTTGGCCTGCAGACCGAAGGGTATTGGGTTGGCTTTCCGGTCAAGGGCATGTGTGTCAGTCGCAGGCTCAACACCCCTTTACCCCGCCCCCCCTCCCACATTGGGGCACATGCAGGGAGTGGGGGCAACCAATTAATGTGTCTCTCTCACATCGATGTTTCTCTCTCTCCCCTCCCTCCTCTCTTCCTTCCACTCTCTCTGAAAAGATCAATGGAAAAAATATCCTCAGGGTGAGGATTGGAAAACTGTATTTGTTCAATAACTATGTCTTGAGCCCGTGCTCGGTGCCAGCTACTGTGCTAAGTGCAAGGGTACAAATCCAAGGATACAGACTGCGCCCAGGGCTAGCTTAGTCCCTGGAGGAAGCTGCGGGAGTGGACAGAGGAGGCCACGGGGTCAGAGGGTTGGGTCCAGCTCCATTAGTACCTAGAGCTGAACGGGTGAGACTCCTCATCCTAAAATGGGGGTGCTATCACCTCACTAGGATGTGATGAGAAGTGATGTGGAATACAGAGCCGTGGGTAGTCAGATCAATAAATTAGATACATTAACTGTTATGTGCGCACATGCTTGGTGGCCCGTGTCTATGTAGAGAGGGAAAGGGAGCAGTTACGGTGCAGGTGACAGTCACTCTGGGAGGTTTGTTCCAGGTGGAGCTGAAGGCCCCAGGGAGGGGCCTACACCTGCCTGGAGGGTGGCAGGGGAGCCACGGCCGAGACACCAGGTCAGTGTCCGAGGGGAAGTCGAGTCAGACAAAGGCGTAGAGGTCAGAGAGACGTGGATCTGGGGACAAATAAGAGTCAGTTTTGTGGGACATAAATGTGAGCAGAGAGGAGGCAGGGAGAGGCACAGAGAGGGAAGCGGTCACATATTTGTCAAAATGACAGTGTCCTAATGAGGCTGCCCTGATCATCCTAATAAAAATACTCCACTCCCCAGCCTTCCAGGTTTCCACAGAGCCCTGCCGCTGCGTTTCTCTCCAAGTCCCTGTCTCTACCTTTTCCATAAGTCACTCCTAGATGTAGATACCCTCACGTGTGTGTACATCACACACACACACACACACACACACACACACACACACACACCCCTTGTTTTGTCTCCTCGGTGGAATGCAAGTTCCCTGAGAACATGCACTTTGCTCTCCTGCCGTATCCCCAGCACCGAATGGGTGCCTGGCACATAATAGGTGCTCACTAAATATCAGTTGAACTGAATGAATGAATGAATGCGTAGCTTCTCTGGCTGGCACAAAAGGTGAGCTTATCCTTTTGCTGGAGGAACCTTGAAGAATTCTAAGAAAGGGAAGGTGTGGTCATGTTTCCCTGTTAGAGTGTTCTGGAAGCATTGCTGTGGAAAGGCTGTGAGGGGCCATTGTGATAATCTGCGGGCTGCTGGAGGGCCGGACCCGTGGAAGGGAAAGTGGGGAATGGGAGAGGCATGGAGGCCAGGCAGGCAGAACCAGAGGGCAGGCTGGGGGGACAAAGGCGAGGGCACCCTTCAGAGTCCCTCGGGTGTCACTGGAGCAAAGGAGAGTCGTTCACTGAGAAGGGAGAAGAATATGAGTGAAGGGCACGTACCTGGGTGGCGGGTTCACTTCCTGCCCCTGGCAGGGTGCGTGCGTGCAGGGGGCAACCCATTGCTGTGTCTTTTGCAGGTCGATGTTCTCCATTTTTATTACTCATTTGTATGTGCCATTATTGTTATTTTGAAAGGTGGCATTTTGTTAGAAGTGGGTTTTCCCCTCTAAGTGAGGGTTTAAAGTTTGCTGTGTTCTTAACCATGCGTTTTGCATGCACAGACGGGAGAAGTTTGCTTTCTAAACAAAGCGCATTCCTACACTGTGTTGGGAACCAGTGGAAAATCTGCTCACCCTTTTCAGAGATTCCCTCTATGGCCACATTTGGGAAGCTTCGAATTTAGTGGGAAGTGTCACTAAATAAGAGGTTCCCAGTCACTGTGGCTTTTCTCTAAAGTCAACTTTGCCAGCACTCAATATTTTGGAGCAGCTCACACATAGGTATCCATCGCGTTAAAGGCCTAGGGTGTGCATGACCACGTCCGAGGCACATCTCCCCCCCATCGTGTCTCAGGTTGGTCTCTTTCACGTGCCCCCCCTCCTTGGTGTTGCCATTTGCCCTGTGTAAGTCCGTTCCACATCGCGCGCGGCTGTGTGCTCTTCTCGGAGCGCGTAAACCCGGGCCCTGCGGTGGGGAGGACCTTCCGTTCCTCCCGCCCTCCTCCTCCCATTCCCAAGAGAACCCGGAGGAATGGCGACGGCCAGGAATTTTCACTCGGAGATCAAGCGGCTGGAACATTCTCTTCTCATTTCCTCCCACTTGAATCCATGACGGCTGCAGTTTTCCACGTCTTTACTGACTCAACAAACGTCCCCGGGGTATTTCCATCCTCTCACCATGAGCTCACTTTCTGTGCTTATTCATTCCCAGTTGCTTCGCGGGCTGAGCGGGGTGTCCGTGATCAGTGACTCAGAGCTATTTCAGGAATCCCCAGCATTTCCACGCACTGACTCACCTCGCAGTCCTCGGGCTCACCTGTCGGGGGCGTGGCTGTGGCCCGGCACATGGGCCTGGGGTGGCCAGGACGCTCCTCAGACAGACGTGTCTGCAGTGGCAGAGCTGTGATCTGAGCAGAGCCCTCCTGCCTGTCCCTCCTCCGGCCCGTGTCTGCCTTGGGAAGGAAAGAGGTTTGCCCTGGTCGCCTTGGAGTCCCCAGTGACTCCGGAGCTCCAGGGCCCCATAACACTGTGCCGCCCGACAAATGTGTCCTGGATGACGGGCTATGGAATCCTGGGGATGGTGGAGACCCTTCGCTTGTGTTTTGTGAATTGTTATGACTATAAATATGGAAAAACCATCTTAGGAAGGGAGGGGCTTAGATCAATACCCGAGAATGTAGGTAAGTGCCTAAATCTTGGGGTTACCTGGAAGAAATAGGTCTGACCAGGACGTCACAAAAATGCTGGAGGAGTTAAAGCAGCTGAATGAAGCCGTCTCGGGTCTCAGCAGCACCGTCTCACTGGCCCTCATCTCGTAAACCCGCCTCTCCCGCACCCATTCCTTGGTTCTGTCGGCCTTTAGCTTTCAAGCACCTCCTTGGTTCCTTCTAACCTCTCTCTTCAAGTCTACGGCCTGAGTTCTGTGAGATTAGTGTGCATGTTGCATCAGGCGTCCCCACATCTACCCCAGATCTGATGATTCACCAGAGAGCCTTGCAGGGCTCAGCGCGTAGTCACACTCACGGAGGCAGCGGACAGCAGTGAAAGGAGACAGGAAATCAGCAAAGGGCAAAAGCACACGCGGCGAAGTCCAGAGGACACCGGGCTCAGGCTTCTAGAATCTGCTCCCGGGGGAGTCTCCCACGATACACTTAACTCCTCCAACATCGCACCGTGACAACGTGGGAGGTGCTGTCTCCCAGGAAGCTCATCACACACTCAGCACCAGGGTTTTCCTGGGGCTGGTCGCGTGGGCACTCTCCCCAGCGTGTACCAAGCTCCAGACCCCGAGAGGAAAGCAGGCTTTCAGCAGAAGTCACGTCATATGACAACAGGCATCGTGAACCGTCCTTCTCCGTTACAGGTGGGAACTCTACTGACATTCAAGTTTCCGGACGTCAGCCAACAGCCCACCTCGCAAGAGGGCCTTTCTGAGGACAGCGGCCCCAGGCCTGCTCTGTCACCTCTTTCCTGCACACACGGGTACCTCAAGCTCATCCTCTTTCCCAATTTGGGGACACTCTACCCTCCCAACACCAGCCCCCTGAGCGGCCGATTTATCATCCCAACTTAATGCGAAGGCCATCCATCTCCTGAGATTCCTCGCTGACCATCCTCTGGGCAGTATCCCCTGAGATAAGGTTCTTGAGAATCACGTAGGTTTTTAATAGCCATTGAAGGACATTGGAGCATTAGTTGCCCAACAATAAGCAAAAGAGTTGACAGGTGACGTTGAGAAGCTAGTTGAGACGGAATATCACACATTTTCTCCAGTGTCCTCAGCCACCGTGGCCCAGGAGCCAAGAGAGTGTCTTAAAGCATGGATCCAATACTGGAGTGTTACAGAGGGGACGTTATGGGGAAATAGAGGGTGAGAGGAAAGCAAAGGTCCTGTGAGAGTGACGATAGAGTGTCTTAAAGCATGGATCCAATACTGGAGTGTTACGGAGGGGACATTATGGGGAAATAGAGGGTGAGAGGAAAGCAAGGGTCCTGTGAGAGTGACGATAGAGTGTCTTAAAGCATGGATCCAATACTGGAGTGTTACGGAGGGGACGTTATGGGGAAATAGAGGGTGAGAGGAAAGCAAGGGTCCTGTGAGAGTGACGATAGGGTCCAATGAAGGAAAGAAGTCAGAAGAGCTAATTCTGGAAGAGCGTGAGGTAACCAACAACATGGTAGCGCTAAAGATGAGGTCATGCAGGAGGAGGGGTGATGAAAACGAATGAGTCACATTTCTTATTACAGATAGAACATTTGTGTTTAAGAATTCAAGGATGGGGAAATTCCAGGGTTTAAGTTTGAGAGGGCATCTGAAAGGGAATTGAGATGAAGGCTATTGGAAGAGTTGGAAGTTAAGAAGAAAGGAGGGATGTCACTAAAGGTCACTAAAGATAATGGTGGGTCAGTGGCATCTGAGTAAAGAGGCAAACTTTTTCCGAGGTGCCAGACATTAATGGATGCTTCAGATTGGCTTTAAAGAGACAGAAATAAATGAAAAAGCATAATGTGAAGAAAATTAACCTCAGTGGAGCAATGGAAGGGCATTGGGTAGTAGCTTGGAAGCCTCTCTGCGAAGTAATGAGAGTCCTCATCCCACCCCTGACACCTACATTCCGGAAACACGGTCAGCGTTCTCGCGAGGTGCTGCTGAGAAGTGGCAGAGGCTCAGAGAGAAAATAAACCACTCACCAGACCAAAGGCGTGTTTTATCATTAAAGTCCTTTTTCTTGTCTTCATTGCCACAGGAATGGAGCCAATTACAGATTTCATCCTCTCCGTAGCAAGTTTAATAATTACATCAAAACTTTCAGCAATGATCAGTGTATGTTTCTACTGAAGCCAACGTGATCTAGCCAAGTTCACATTTATGAAATCTATTCACTTTTAAAGATTAATTACAAGATTTCTTTCCCGGACCCTGTCAGTTATTTTCAAATAAATTATCAAGATTGGTTTTAATAAAAAACATATACTTCAAAAAGTTTTGCCTAAGGTTGCATCTAGTTTTTATGGTTTTGAGACAAGTAGTTTGGTGTGTAGGTAACTTTATTCTGGAAAAAAAAAATCAGATACTATGAATAGCATACTGTCTGTTGTCAACAATAGCACACTGATAAATATTAAAATCTGGTTGTCATGTAAGATTAATGAGTGATTATTTAGGATTGAACACATGTTAAAACCATTCAGTCACAAAGTAGCCCATTAAAATAGTGATGATATGAAACCAGAGCTACCCAGAAGCAGTGAGAACATGGAAATATTTAATCTGTCCATCATCTTAAAAATTATTATTCAATATTCATAATTCAAAATCCTCATGTTTTATGCAGAAATCAGCACTTTGCCAGATCCCGTGTGAGAACACTAAGCAGTTTCATATGCTACTCAGGTGTCTTGCTTAAAATTACTCCCCGAAATATAAATTTAAATGGATTATTCTAGAAAAGCAATGATTATTGTAAGGAATGTAGTAACTGATGGCATTGTGACTTCTATTGAACACAGGGACCGAGTTAGGAACCATGCCAGTTTCTTCAGAAGGGGGGGTCTTACACAGTTGTAAGAGGGAATAAAATAATCACTGTAGCTAAATGTTCTGCATGTGTTCTGTGTCCAACATATTAAATGGTATTATTTTACTTAATCGTCACCTCTAGAGAGTCAAGTATTTTTATTTTTTTTTTTCCATTTTTAAAATGAAGAAACTGGAGCTGAGAAGGTCGAATGGCCCATTTCACAAAGCTATTGAAGGTCAGGCTGGTTTGAACCGGAGTCGGCCTCTGTACTAGATGCCTGTCCATTTACATGAGCTCAGAAGTCTCATTGCCATGGACGGACCCTCAAGCAAGGGAAGTTGACAGATCTGCTTACCCTCTTGTCTCTCAAGTCTGTTACCCATAAACTCAAGCTGTAGCTCAGCCGTCCTTAAAAATCAGGGAGCCGAGGGAATTTTTAAATCCATGAAGGGATTAATTTTTTGGCATTTCCTCAGTGGGTTGTCTGTTTCTAAACATCAAGGCAATGCTACCAGCAGAAGGAAACTTAGAATCCGGGACCCATCCTCCAACCAGCGCGGGAATCTCTTTCCTCTTCTTGGCCCTCCTTCCACTCGGGAAGTCTGGCTTCGGGGTAAGTATGCCCTGCTCCTAACCAGCATGTGCGGGTTATTTTCCTTCTATATCCTTCCCAGTGGCCCTATCGCCTTGCTGATGCCTGACTCTGCCCTCTCTTCCGTACCCGGTAGCCGGGCCCCCATGCGCTCGTGCCCTGAGGGCTGCTGTGTGTAGTGAACGTGCAGAGCAGTGTCTTGGATCTGCGGGCGCAGGGGGTTGTGAAAGGGCAAGCGTTTCTTACTGACCCTGTCTGTCCCATGGACGATGGCTTCGGGTGCGCGCTGCGTTCGCACGGTAAGATGTTCACAATAGAGGTGGGCCAGGGTCGGTCTGGTGGCTCATTGATGTCATCAAAGACCGAGGCGCTTTCTGTTTCCCTGCGTGCCACCCTCGGGCTGCAGGACGCAGGCAGCTGTGGCAGAGAGCACTCGGAGACACAGCCACATCTGGCCGGAGGGGGGCCATGTCCTCCCAGCGCTGCTTTGTAATCAGGGAGGAAAGGTCTCCCCATAAGCCCCCCAGATGGCTTCCCCGTAAGTGCCCGTCTGCAGCCAATGCCATAGCCTCGCTGTAGGGGGTGGGGAACTCTAACATCATCGGATCGTTTCAGACACTCCAGTGGAGGTGAGCTCTGTGAGCAAGAGGAGTGTGGATCGAGGGAAGAGTGGAGTGTAGACAGCCAAGTTAGCTTTCGATCCAACCAGCTGCCCCAGAAACTAGCCCTTCCTAAGTATCTGTATGTTATGAGCCTCAATATCGGAGGCAACTAGAACCATCTTTGGATTAAACCTGGGCAAGGTATATACTTACTCATCTCTCCAGGAGCAATCTCAACGAATTTCAATTAAGAGATTGATTCAACTAACAGGCACCGCAGTCAGAGCATAGGCACGTATTTCTCGTATTTGGTGAGACCAATGGCTTTGGTAAGTTGGCCTTTGCTACCAGTCAGGTCTGTTTCCATCACGGTCTGTCTGGTGTGATTGGGCTGGACTCTAGCAGTGACTCCATGAGAAGTCCCCTCAGGTACCGGCCATGACTATCTGCTATGTTTAGCCGGCGTGCGGGACTATGTCAGCAATGTTGTTGGGTTTTCCACAATCAAATGAAATGTGGAAATCTCCGGCGATGCTGGCAGCACAGCCTGGGACAGCTGTGTGCGACCCGGAACTTCCTGTGGCCTCTGCCAGCTGAGAGAGACCTCGGCAGCCGGGGACAGTGACTCGCTGCTGAATAAGCCAGGGTCCTTTTCGCACCAGTCTTTGAAAGCCTTGGCCCCGGGAGTCTAGGGTCCCAGCAAAAAGACCGTCTCATTCTGAAAAAGCCCTGCTAGAACAGGGTCACGCTTGTAGGCGAGGGGTGTTAGTTCCATCAGAAATAAAGGGGAGTCATAAGATGGTGCTGGAACCCTACAGCTACCCCTGCAGGCAGAAGTATTCATCCGAACCCCCAAACCCCCCTGGTAGAAGAGGAGGCTGTATGGAAACAGAACTTCAAGAATGCAATTTGACCAGAAATATAACTTGAAACAGTAAATCTGTCTATCTGTCTAATCTATGTATGTATGTATGTACCTATATGCAGAAATACACAGGCATGTCACGGTGGCTGTTTAGAAAGGGTGTTGCTTATAAAGTATTTAACGCCCCAAGTCTAGGGTCTGCATGAACATGCAAGTTCGAGACATTCTGCAACGCCCTCGTGTCTTTTGCAGCTGCTTTGGGATTGGAGATACACAGCTTAGCTCTCTTCGCCGAACCATCCAGCGTCTGTCGAACTCAGGGATGAAACAGAATTTGTTCTGCTTGTGAGCAATTTTCCTGAAGCCACCTGATTTTTTTTTTGTTTGGCTTGGTAGTCCTTCGTCTATTAGCAAACATTTAAATGTCTTCCACCCTATGAAGCTTTCAACTGTGAAATGAACCTGTCCCCAGCCTTGTTTGAGCAAGACCAGGTGTCTCAGACTTCCCCGCCTCCTCACAGGAGGGGGAAGGGGGCTTGGGCAGCTGTGCCACGAAAAAGTGTCAGTGAACCCCCCGAAAGTGACCAGAGGCTCGGCCAACCCGGCCTCCGGAAAATTACCTCATCGACCCCAACTTTTTCAGGGAACACGAGACTCATCTTCCTCTCTTCCTGAAAATGAGCAGCGCCCCTCCCCCGTCTCCCCCTGAAACAACAGCCATCGGAGATTTCATGATCGCTCGCCTGGACGCAGTTCAAACGCGCAGGCAGGAAGGAATGCGCAGCTGCCACGGAGCCCGGCCGCGGTGCCCCAGACAGATCCCCGCGCAGCGGCTGGTTCTGATTAGCAGCAGACTCCGCGCTGGGCTCTCCGCCCCCCTCTTTCTCCAGCAACTTTAAACAAAGTGATTTGTAGGCTCTGCCTCATACAGTATCCCCCCCCCCCCCCCCCCCGTGCAAACGGAGGATGTTCATGGAAATAACTTGAGCCAAAGTTCAAAGCGGATTAGAGCATCTGAAGGTACCTGGAGATGTTTATCCGGCCCTCGACGGAGGCGGGTGGGGTGGAGCGGGGGTGGGGGTGAGCTTCCTCCCCCTCCTCCCCCGGCGCCGCCTCCCGTGCCGTGCAGTGAGGTTACATGGTGATTATCACGCTAGATTGTTCTTAATGCTAATCTGCTCGGAAGGACGTTTTCCCCCTGTAGCTGATGAAAAAGTATCCTGAGTCCCAGGCAGCCGCACCAGGGAGATGTCTGTGAGCTGTGAGCGTGGCGCTCCGGAAGGCTTCCCTCCGTGACCTTCCTCGGCCCCCAGCACACGGGCTGCTCAGTGCTGTCCGACTAAGCCGCAGTGCCAGGGCCGTCGTCCCCTAGCGGTGCCCGCGGGCCCTTTCATCATGCAGACGAGCCTGCTCTCTAGACCTGAGTGGAGACTCAGTGAATGAGACCGATGTCTGCAGATAAACCTCCCCAGGCCAGGGCCTGGTGCTGCCTGCAGTGCCGCAGGCTTCGTCCCGGCTGTGATGCCCACGGGGGCAGCGGCTCAAAGCAATTGGAGAAAAACATCTTTTTTTTTCTGTTTAATTCTTTTTTTTTTCTTCATTAAAATTTTTTTAAAAATACCTTTATTGTTGAAAGTGTTATATGTGTCCCCTTTCCCCCCATTGACCTCTCCCCGCCCGCCCCCGCCCCCCACCCCAGACCTTCACTACCCTGTGTCCATGGGTGATGCATATTTGAATACAAGTTCATTGGTTGCTCTCTTCCCACCTGCCCACCCTCCCCTGCCTCCCCTCTGAGGTTTGACAGTCTGTTCCGGGGCGTCTATGTCTCTGGGTTGATTTTTGCTGGTCAGTTTATGTTGGTCATTAGATTCCGCATATGAGTGAGGTCATGCAAGACTTCTCTTTCTCTGACTGGCTTTGACATAAATGGTCACCGTGACCATTAACGAGCCTCGCCCCAGCCGGCTGGCTCTGTGGTTAGAGCGTCCACCCAAGGACTGAAGGGTCCGGGTTCCATTCTGGTCGAGGCCACGGCCCTCTTCTATTTGATAAAATTGCCAGCATGGTTCCAGGGCCATCGTGACTGACCAGAAGATGTGGAAAAACAGAATTAGGACCCAGTAACCCCCATTGGCCGTGAATGGCTTGAATCCCTTAATGTATGCACTTCGCTCATGAACTAAATCCTGTCACCATGTAGCAGGTTTTCCCTGGAAGACTAATCCCTTTCCCACCAGGGAAGGAGCGTGCCAGGAAGTGGCCAACGTCCGTCTGCCTGGCTCGCCGGGCTGCCTGGGTTCGAATCCTGCGCCTACCATGTGCTTGTTGAGTAAACGCCTCAGATGAGTTATGTGGCTCTCTGGGCCCCTTTCCCACCTGAAAAGTGGGGGCAACACTGTT